GATAAGATAGTATAATACATACTCCAAGTATCGAAATGCACGCCATCGTGTCGTCGGGATTCATACCCCGACACGATGGCGTGCATTTCGATACTTGGAGTATGTACTATACATGTATCTTATATGAGATTAATCAGTGAAACTTTCGGTGTATGTTTATGTGTATGTATGGGTATGTGTGTGTGTGTGTTTACATCCTTATATATATTTTTGTTGACATATATTTTTGTTGTTACATTTTGTAAAAAGTTGTTATTTTGGATGGACCGTTATTGTTAACGTGTGCCGCTGTTTCAAAAGTGCTATCCAATAAGTATCTAGGCTCTATCTAGACAATAGCAAATGTATTTCAAGAATTTTGAAATAGGGCAAAGTATGAAATTTAACGAGTAGCATATTTAAATGCGATAATTAATAATTAAAAAAAAAACAATGCTGATGACTGAATATTTTTTTTAGTTTTTGTTTCAATATGTCTATGAAACCAAAAGCCATGCTTTAAATCTGTCCAATATGTTATAAAATTAAATATTAATTGAAAGCGATAGAATGTCTATAATCTTAAAATTTACTTTTATATATGTTTATTAGTTTTTATTTCATTATTAGTCAAGTTTCAAGGCTAAGTATGCCTATATGTATAAGTCATTTCAATCGGACAAATGTCTAAAATAAAACAGGTCATTAGCGGAAGCGGCGCTTGGCTTCATTCCTCGCTGGAATTTGACGAAACCCAGCTAACAACTTTACGTTTAATAATAACTTTGCGATTTGGTATTTTAAACGTTATTTTGTATAATTATGAATAAATATTTATAACGTATTTTCTGTCACATATTATGTTGAAAACGTTGCTGTAACGCGTACTTTGCTTGATTCCTAATACTGTGGTCTAAAGCACAATTTCGGGCCATACTAAGCCATAAGACTCTCCACGTGATATGGACGCTATCGGGGATTCTTATTCCGTGTCTATTTCCGAGAATTTCTAGTCGGCGTCTTGGTTTCGGGATCACCTGTCCGAATTGTCGGCCCCTATGTTGGTAAATTTCATGAACCAAAACTGATATAAACTGTCTCTCAACTCTCTGTATGTCTCTGTCTGAAAGTGGTATATTTTTTTATTTTGCTCAATATTTAGATCGCTTTTGCTCGTCAACCGTTACGTCCATACTCATTTATTCAGAACTAAATTAATCTGATCTGAATTTTATAATTATATTCTTGAATAATGTTTGAGGTATTCAAATACTATGTAGGCCTACCATGTGCTAAGCAATTACGATCAGGGAAAAGTGTAATTCCACTGTTCTGAATACGATTTATAACATCATAGACGATAATGCTCTAAGCCGTATGAATGTTTGTTTTGTTGTGTAGGGGTGTATCCCTGGCTTAAGTAACTGGACCTCTACATGGTAATGCGCAGTTGAGACTATAAAAGAGCTAATATTTTTGGGGCCAATAAAATTATCCTAAGTTGTAGATTTTTTAGTCAGTACCAAGGATCCTATTATTGAGAGGGCGCTACACAAAGTCTGTCAAGCATAATTATTCTTTCCTCATCGGAGACAACATACACTACTACAATATACTACGCAACGAAGCTGATTTCATTTATTGATTCACAAGTTTGTGTTGGACATTAACACTTATTTCTTTTATGAAGATCTATTTGACAGATTAATGTAAGTATACAATGTTTGTTAATTCGTACTAATGTCGATCAAGTCCAAATTATCGTTTAAAATCAATTAAACATTAAGTGAGTATTTATGTAACAAACAGAAATAAATGTGCAAGTACTGTAAGTGGGTGCAATTTGTATTATTGACGTGCTTCTTTGTCCACATGTTATGGCGCATATGGGTCTTTTGTACTATTGCTATGTTATGTCTTCGTTACCTTATTAAATGTTAACTGGTCATTTCTTTAGGCTGTTTGTTTATAATTTTAGATTTTGTTAATCAGCTACATACACGTACTGGTTTTCCATATTGCACTAGTAAAGTTTTATGCCCGAAATCTAGATGTGTATAAGAGACAGTATATATATATGGGAAATTCTAAATAAAAGAAACCAGAATGTGAAAGACCATTCTAAAGTCTAGCTGCCACAACCACAACAAATTTTTGAACAATTATGAAAAATGCATGGTTAACAACAGTGGAAGAGCTGTTAGAATAAATAATAACTTAAAAGCTGCATCGGCAAACATATATATAAATAAAAACTCTTGAGGTGTCTAGTATTGCCAAAAGTAGTTTAAAAAAAATAGTAGTATGTCCGAAAACGTTCGTGTACTCAATAAACTACTTCAAATCTACTACTTTAAATTCAATCGGTGTTGTAGATTTGGATCCACTTATGTCTCATCGTAAGAATAAATAAATAAGTAAACGCAGACACAATAAACTACTACGATAGGCTACTTTGACATGTAGGAGACAGAAATATTTATTAGCGAAATTTTCGGCAACTCATGTTACCTTCGTCATGGCTTGAGTATCTACGGAAGCGCCTAAGTGCCATCCTACTAGACGACTTGTCAAGATTAATTATATTGACAAGTCGACATAATATATATATATATCATGCAGAGATAAATTTTCCTGCAAAGACTTTGTATTGGCTCAAGAACAAGCTTTAAAATGTTAACACTGTGTACAAAGGAGGGGGGGGGGGAGCTGCTGCTCCTACGGCTCCCCTACGTATACGTTATTGTGCCTCTGAACATTTTAAACTCCCTTTGGTACATGTTGATTTGTAAGTTTTTAACCATACCGGAACTTATGTTTACTTTTTTAAGACGTATTAGTAAAAAAAAACTCCCTTGTTCTCTAGAGAGTTGAACCCGATAAACCCAACATGAAGTTCCGCAACGCTAACTGCATAAGAGTGAACTTAAAGGACGTGTTAATTTGGCAAATGTTAAACTACAGTATAATTCTCTAAATTAATTTAAAAAAAAAAACATTTAAAAAAAATGTAATTCTTAGGACTTGACCCCGGTGAAGTCCATAAATATATATATTTATCTGAGATAAATTTAAAACTTCGCGATTTCGCGATTGCGTCGGGGACAGCCATCTACGCAGTGCAATGATTGCAGTGAAAACACTGTATAGCGGCTGTGTAGCGATTTTATGGATACAAGCTTTAGATGAGCTGAAATGATGCATAGCATTTCGCGATTTAAAACCTATCTCGCCATGACAACATATACTTTTTACTATGACGACTTGGCAAGATATTCTATCTCGCCATAATGACATGTACTTTTCTGGAAGTCAACTTGGCAAAATAATGTATCTTGCCATGACAACATATACTTTTTGTAAAGCCAACCAGATAATCTATATCGTCGTGACAACATATAATGTTTATTATGTCGACTTGGCAAGGTAATCTATATCGCCATGACGACATGTGCTTTTCTGGAAGTCAACTTGGCAAGATAATGTATCTCACCATGGCAACTTTTAAAAGTTGATAGGTCGACATGGCAAGGAAATTTATCTGTGCATGTCGACATCATATGTATATTGTGTCGACTTGTCAAGATAATTAATCTTGACAAGTCGTCAAGTAGGATGGTACTTAGCGCTTCCGTAAGTATCCATGATAAACTATACAAATATGGAGGAATTAGTTTAGAAAATTCCTCCATGATACAATGGATATTGTATAGGTCTATAAACAAAGGGTTACATGGTCTTATCACTAGCAATAGTTAATAAGGAGGCTCTAGGTCTGACAGAAGCAAATAAATCAGTAGCAGGTCAGTGTGACAAAACAAAGGAATGCTAAACAAGGAAATAGGCGTATAAAAAACAAAAATGGAAATAGAACAAAATAAAATGCACAGAAGCCGGTGATACAAGAAATAAGAAATATGTTTTTCTCTTGATCCAAAGAGTAGTAACTGATAGAGACTTGATCTGTTTGTGTGTGGAGGGAATGTCCTATAATTAGGGATATTTTGTAACTGTCCAGAGACGTTATATAAACTATGCCCCCACCCCCAAATAAAAAAATGAAAGAAATATGTTTTTCTCTTGATCCAAAGAGTAGTAATTGATAGAGACTTGACCTGTTTGTGTGTGGAGGGAATATCCTATAATTTGGGATATTTTGTAACTGTCCAGAGACGTTATATAAACTATGCCCCCACCCCCGAATAAAGAAATGAAAGAAATATGTTTTTCCTCTTGATCCAAAGAGTAGTAACTGATAGAGACTTGACCTGTTGTGTGTGGAGGGAATATCCTATAATTTGGGATATTTTGTAACTGCCCAGAGACGTTACATAAACTATGCCCCCACCCCCAAATAAAGAAATGAAAGAAATATGTTTTTCTCTTGATCCAAAGAGTAGTAATTGATAGAGACTTGACCTGTTTGTGTGTGGAGGGAATATCCTATAATTTGGGATATTTTGTAACTGTCCAGAGACGTTATATAAACTATGCCCCCACCCCCGAATAAAGAAATGAAAGAAATATGTTTTTCCTCTTGATCCAAAGAGTAGTAACTGATAGAGACTTGACCTGTTGTGTGTGGAGGGAATATCCTATAATTTGGGATATTTTGTAACTGCCCAGAGACGTTACGGTACATAAACTATGCCCCCACCCCCAAATAAAGAAATGAAAGAAATATGTTTTTCTCTTGATCCAAAGAGTAGTAATTGATAGAGACTTGACCTGTTGTGTGTGGAGGGAATATCCTATAATTTGGGATATTTTGTAACTGTCCAGAGACGTTATATAAACTATGCCCCCACCCCCGAATAAAGAAATGAAAGAAATATGTTTTTCTCTTGATCCAAAGAGTAGTAACTGATAGAGACTTGACCTGTTTGTGTGTGGAGGGAATATCCTATAATTTGGGATATTTTGTAATTGTCCAGTGCCCAGAGACGTTACATAAACTATGCCCCCACCCCCCAATAAAGAAATGAAAGAAATATGTTTTTCTCTTGATCCAAAGAGTAGTAACTGATAGAGACTTGACCTTTTTGACTGAAATGTATTTCGTAAATGCGTCGCTGGCTGACCGGGGTCTTTCCTCCCTCTCCCCCACATCGAGATGAGTTATATTCCTCATGTGTTATCCAATCTTTCGCCAGACGATAAAATCAAGTTTGGAGCTCTGATACTAGTGAAAAGGATCCTGTGCTTTGTACGACCCACATTATTTCTTTTTGTAATTATAGATAATCGATAATGGATATTCAGGAGAACCACATTCATTCACTTGAAAATGTACAAGAAGAGGAAAATGACGGCACGAGGCTGATCAAAAAAGATGAAACTGAAATTACACCAAACAGGTATCCGATATATATTTTTTTTAAATACAGGACTTGTCGAATGAAAAAGCAGCTACACGTATACTATACAGACGGTTCCGTTGCTGTAACATGAATCCCAAACCTGGTTAACTCCACTGATAGATTTTAGTAGCTGGTGCCAATTAAAGGTTAAACATGACGATAAGCTCATGGTAAACATTGGACATTTATACAGAAATAAAATGTACATAGTGTATAAAAAATATATATATATTCGATTGAATTGTCTACAATTACCAGACCCCAGGAACCTATTAACATTATTTTTGCTCCAAATCGGCTTAGTGCAGTATTATCTGGACTGGAAAAAAACAAAAACAAACAAACAAACAAAGCCCTTTGAACGTCGAAAACGCCGAAGTTAGCCCTGACCCCAAGGCTCTGTACCCAGACACAATAAGTTAGCAGGGCCCGAAGAAACCCGGAAGGGGCCTGATCAGGCCTCCTTTTTACGCCACTGCTACCCACTCCAATGGCTACCAATTCAAATGTGGTTGTCTCGAAATGCTAAAGGAATACAGAAAAAATCTCTAATAGAAACCCATGGTCTTCAACATTTTTTAGGACCCTTGGATTGGACAACTTCTTTTTGAGATTACATTTAAAAACCCCATTTCTATCTTTTATTTTATAAAAATATTTTTCAAATTAAAGACCAAAGCTGCTAAAGACCATGACGGGTCCCAAAAGTGATCTTTAACTAAAGGGAGACCTGTACAATAATTTTACAGCATTAATCACGTGACGTTTTTCTCATTTTTATAATATAGTTTTGAAGTAAGTCGACTCTTAAGTAAATTCTACGGAATAGGAACGATCCTGTTTAGTGTAGCAATATACACAGCGGTGCTAAAAGGTTTCACCGGCGATCGTAAATCGGGACTCACTACCCCTGTCGCATACTACTACATGAGCATTCTATTCGGGCTCAGCATCTTATTCATGGCTGCTACATTTATCAACGAGTACCTGTTGTATCGTCGCAATGCCGCAGCAATTGAAAAGGAAATTGCTCCACAGTCAACAAACGTTTACCTGAAAGGTTCGTGTGAAATGTCAAACACTACCGTTCCATGAATTTAATTATGATAATAATGACGATGGAGATGATGATGATGAGGAGGAGGAGGAGGAGGAGATATAAATGATGATAATGATAATGATGATGGTTATGATGTTGCTGATGATGGTAATGATAATGATGATATTAATAACAGTGATGATAATGCTGCTGATGGTGGTGGTGATGTTGATGATGATGATGATGATGATAATGATGATGATTATAGTTATTGACATATTATAATCTTCAAGGAAGTAATGTTTTATTTCTTTTCTAAGTTTATCTTTCATCTTTTGGTGTTAGAAACTGAAACAAACCAATTCTTAAGCTAGCTGAGTATTGATTTTGTCAATATTGAAATTACATCTCACGACTGTTCAATTTGCAAATAACAGCAATACAAACATTGCCATCTTAATAAAAATTAATTGTTGTGGTTGTTTCTTTGTTTTGATTGCATAAAAAGTACAAATTCACATCCATGTTATTGCGTGTATACATTTACATACAATAAATAATATAAAAAATGTATAACTTTCTATTGGCAAGTAATTAGGACTATAAGGAAGAAAAATTAGTTATTGTCATTGCATCCTCCACGATGGCCGTCAAAATATACAGTGGCGGCGTCAGTTTGACCGATAGAACGAGGGGTAAAAAGCTCAGATGAGTGGCCAGGCGGATCCAACAAGCGTAATTTGGCCCGTGGTCCATAAGCCCTAGTGGTGGGGTCATTTGCAAGCTCTCAGATGCTCAATGTGGGATTTGAGAGATACTTTCACAACAATTTTAGAATATCATAATCCATATGGGCCTATGCACAATTTTCAAAAACTGATAGTCTTAAAATCCGAAGTAGGCAATTCGTATACTGTTGTTTTATTACCGCCAAAAATACCTATCATTTTAGCCTACGTCGAACCAGGAAGCCCGAACATAAACATAAATAAATAAATTGTTCACTTTACAGTCGGTCTAGTGATGTTTGGCATTGTCGCCATTTTGTTTCTACTAATTGGGTTCATGTGCTATTTTGATGTACCACCTAAGTATCGTGACGCTGGTGAGTCTTACTTCGACATGATAGGCCTCGTTTTCCACGTTTTACAGATAGCTTACCTGTTGCGTTACTCTAGGGTCTGCTTTCAGCAGAAGCCCGTTTTTATCAGGTTGGTTTTTAATTTTTTTTATACGAAATTACTGTAATTTTTTAGACTCTTCAAACATCGTGATGTGAGTTTGTTTTTTTTTAACAATAATTGCCTATCTTCATCCATTAGTTCATCATCATGCCAGTATATGGGTAAATCACACAAATTTGTTAAATAATGAACGATCCATGAGGCGTGAGTTAAGTGCAAACATATTTAGATTGTGATTGGGAGTGACTTAATTAGAATTTAATAAATCGAAATGTGACAAGTATTCATAGAAAACCGACAAAGCAAATTATTACAAAGCGACATAAACTACAAAACCTTTGCTAGTCGAAAATAACAATATTGCTATTGTATTAAATCTTATTGATACTACTGACAATTAGTTTAGTTTTGTATTACCGCCACAATGATCAAAACTTTATCATCCAGTAAAGAAATACTGTATTTGTATATAATGGTCATATTTTTAGTCTAAATTTACATGCGACAGTATAATACGACACAATTATACATTATGGTCATCTATAGGCCCTACAAATTATAAATGAAATGTGTGTGATTAATACAGTACTAAAAACGAATTATTACCATACATGTTAAAAAAGTGAAGAAAATAGAATTGATGTGCCATGGGCGGATGGGGTTTCGTGATCAAACAAAAAGTGCGACACAAAAAAGAGTAAAAATAAGAATAATAACATTGTATTTAAAAATGCATGTGTATTGTTTGTTTGAATCTTCTTGTAGATTTGGTGTGATGCATATGATCGCTACCAACGTAACTTATTGGCTTCAGCTTGTTGCTTTTGATACAGTCATTGACTTTACTGAAGACTACAGAAATAATTCGTTTTTCAATTGTAAGTGCAATATAGGCCCTATAAACCTACAGATACATAACGTATACACATCTTACAGCAAAGAGATCTAACTTACTAATTACAAGATGAGCAACTCGATAAGTCCTAAGTGATATTATGAGGCGTACAATAATATTATAGGGGCGGTTTGGGGAAGTGGTTACAATTTGGGCAAAGGTCGTGGGGGATTGAACCTCTCGCTGTTATTTCGCTTGCGTACTTGCAAAGCATTATTGTTATTAATAATAATAATTGGCTCAATTTCCAGTTTCCCAAACATTTTATGAAGTGTATACTCTAGAGTCTAGGTCAACGTTCTTCAAACTTTAAAGACTGGGTCCTATAAATATTTCATGTATTTAACCGCGTCCAACCCGCCGCCTGGCGACGAGTTAAGTACTGTAGGCCTTTCCCAAAAATCAAGCGATTTTTAGTGAACATGCTACACTCTATACATTCAGCCCTTACAAGAATTATAGTTGCCAATTTATCCAATCCCGAACCCAAATAAGACTCTCATTTTGAGTTAGTAACCGTGATAACATTTTTTAAGGAATTGTATTATTATTCCTTTTCAGTTTCACCGTACTCGGACGGCAAGAATGTCTCAACACTGAATAAAATTTGTTCCAAAACTAGCGGTTACATGACTGCATGTATCATCGAATACTCAATAATTGCCGCCACCTTGCTACAGATAATATGGGGAAATGTGGGACAAGTTAGACAACCAGCAGTAGAAATCACCCCGGTGCATAAACACTCACTGAAAAATGCTTTGTACGGAATTGCCACTGGCTCAGTGTTTTTGGTTTCGGTGATCATCTTTGGTGTTCTCAGCGTTACGCTGGACGACGAAAGAGTCAAACATCTCGTTCTGCCCTTCTCTGTTTTTCGTATTATAACATTCATTTGCATGTTAGTTACAGTAATCGTCTGCCTACGAAGTGTACACCGCAATTCCTGTAATGCTTTAGGTGCATTTCCACCAATAACGTTCTCCACGAACGATTGTACTCTTCTGTTGTTTTGCCTTAGCTTTTTTATTTTGGATGATCTTTATAGTCTGTTAGCGGTCATTGTAAGCAAAAACGGCAATGCTTTAGATATATTTAATTGCGTGCTAGGCTTAATTGTTTTTATTCTACAATCTGTGGTCATTATAATTGGCCTGTACGACAATTCCGTCATACTAAAACGTAAAATGCTTATCCGTCAGCTACTTATGTTTTTGTTTGTTGTGAATATCTCGTGGTGGATATTTAGTCACTATGAGTTAAAACACGAAATGTTGTTTTATGTAATCGAGCCAAGCGTGTACACTGAGCTTCTCTGGTATATCATTAATCACATCACAACTCCAGTGGTTATTTTGTTTGCTTTTCACTCAAGCGCCTGTATCTTTGAGATCGTTGTTTCAAAAACTAACGGGAATGATATTTAGCAAAATGGTGGCCAGGTCCGGCTATAAGTTTATGAAAAGATTAAAAATTGTTAATCTTAATATTAATGTAAGGAATACTATGTTCACGGTTTAATTAATTTTATCTATAAGTTTATATCAAATCCTACTCATCAGTAGTGTTCTACCAGAAGACAGGTTCCTCAATAGGTCCTATTCCATTATTCTCGGTTCCCTGCATTCCTCTTCAACTCATTGTAACTTCTTCAATTCCGGCTATCATCAAGCATCATTATTCTCACAAAAAATCCCATTAAATTACATTAATTTAAAAATTTGATATAGGCCTATTGTTATAAATATTTGTTTTATAAATTGAATAGAATTATAGCAGAATAACATAGTATGAACCCTGGTGTATTACAATTTACTGTATAACAATTTATTAAAATGAGTTAATTGTGTATTATAATTATCATGACTAAATTATCCAATAAACAAGGCAATGGAAAAGAAATTAAAAGCTGTGGAAATGTGGTTCTACAGAAGAATGTTGAAGATCTCGTGGGAAAAGAAAATGACAAATGGAGAAGTGTTGCAAAAAGCGAAAACAGAAAGGCAGTTGATAAACACCATAAGAGAAAGACAATGGAGATTTGTTGGATATATTCTAAGAGAAGAAGGTGGAATTGAAAGACATATCATCGAGATGGAATTGAAGGGGAAAAGGGCGAGAGGAAGGCAAAGGATGAAGATGCTTGATTGGATGAAAGAAAAGCTGAATGTGAAGAATGATGTAGAGCTTGGGAATATTGCGAGAGATAGAAAGAGAGGGAAAAAGACAGGACAGACACTGACAGACAATCCATGAACGCCTACGGCATAATATAAGAAGAAATTATCCTTATACTGTACAAGAAACAGGAACAAGGAAGAACATTGCAGAGAGATAAATATACACCACAGTGATTTGTAATTTTTTGGAGTAGGGTAGCTCAGTGGTTAAGATGCTTGCCTTCTGATCCCAGGGTCCTGGGGTCAATACCTGTCACAGCAGGACTTTTTCTCACGACCAAAAACAACTCCACTCCCTAAGCCTCATAAAGAGACATGGTTTACAATGCTTCATTCTTATCCTTTAAATGGTGAGCGTATTTGCTGTTGGATGTGAAGGAAGTAAATAAATATTTAAAAATAAATAAAGTAGAAACTAGAAACATAAACACTTTGCAAATTCCTGTAAATATAAAACTTCGGCTATAGAAAATGTATTATAAGATTGAAAACCTTAATATAAATTTAAGGAATACTATGTTCACGGTTTAATTAATCTTACCTGTAAGTTTAATATATAAATTAGATATATTGTTATGAATACAGTATTTGTTTTATACTGAGTAGAATTATGTAAGAACAATATGGTGTCTATTATAATATGTTATAAATTACTGTAGGCCTATTGATTAAAATGAAATACCGTAAAACCTCAATAGCAGTGAACTTTGGATGGGCTTCTTTTCGAGGCTACATTTGAAAAGTAAAGAAGGGGGATTTTTTTTCAAGATGAATAATGTAGATTTTTGGAATTACTACTATAAAACAACAAACAAGGCCACTATAACATCAGTTTGAATCATGGAGTGTATTAACCGGTATTAAATAACCTAAACTGCTGTATAAACCAAGCGTGTTTTTAATTTATTTTGTTACTTTGAAATTCATGTACAGTATGTTCCGTGTAAAAGAAGCTCATACTATTTTGTGATAGACTTTTTTTCGAGGCTACTTTTGCAACTAAAGAGGGGGGTTTGCGAGATGAGTTTCTTCTCGCGATTAAGCTCATTGGGCTTTTATTCGAGGTCTTACGATAGATATATACAGTTACTTAGGTATAGGCAGTGAGCCACTGCAAAGCACTGAAACCTGGGCTATAGAGGTCCGATCGATAAGCCTTAAGAGATCTAAAAATATAACCTAAATAATCCAATTAAAGTTTCAAAATGACCCTTTAATAATAATATAGGATTTAATGTTCACGCTACAATAAATAAATTGAAATAAACATTACATATGGTATTGTTATACACATGGTATTGTTATTGCCCGTCATAACTTTAATGTTTTTTTGCTATGCAGATTGCATTCTCCTACTTAGTTTAACCTCATCCGGACTTCAGGTGCTAATTAACTATATGCCAATAAGTATATCGTTGAACATGGTACGGTACGTTTCAACCCAGCTAAAACATTCTGTTCTATCCTCGGTAAATGTCATTAAAAAAAATGAACCCATCTGGTCTCAGCTGAAAAACCATATTTTGTCATCCGTTGAAAAACTAACTTAGGCCTACGTTGGTGTTACTCTTTCATCAAACTTGAAAGGCAATCGTCATGTAGATGAACCTATTAGAAAATGTCAACGGGCCTTTTCTCATTACATTGCGTCGGCTTTTGTAAAGGCGAGGACAACAATGATGTAAAAGTTTACTTATGGAACTCCATTTTAGCTCCTATTTTAACCTACGGTAGCCAATGTGTTGACTTAAGCGACTCCTATATCAATAAACTTGACAAGCTACAGAATAGTTACTGAAAGCTGCAATTGGTATACCAAAATTTTGCCGAAGCATCCCTATTATTCACGCAATTGACGTACCAAAAGTCAGTAATATAGTTAAATGCTTTCAGTTAGACCCCATGGCCCAGATATTTAATAGCAATTCTGCTTCTCGGTTATTTTATTCACTTATTAAATTCCTATTTTAACAATGTTATGTCTCATCTTAAGGGCACCTTAGTCTCCCGTGTTATAAATTTTGCTCACAACGACAACTTTGGTTTATTAAATCCATTTTTTATGTTAAATACTGTATGCATGTTAAGTCATACTTTAAGAATAATTTTGTATTGATCATGGAATCTGTGATAGTATTAAGTCCTTATTATTTATCAATGATTTAGATAGTATTTATAGATTATTATTGCATTTTTAAACATTTTGCCTTATGTTGTACTTTATTATTGTTGTAAAAACTTGCTTCTCCTTCGGGAGGTTTATGGAAATAAATAAATAAATAAACAAACATTATTCATTATGTTCATTACATTTTATCTGTGACGTGCTATCAATTTATTATTTTTATTGTTATTTGAACAAATTTTACATCGCCGCAGGATTCTCTTGAAATGTGTTATGAAGTCTCTACGTTATTCAAATGCAGCACCCCAACACCAGACACCGCCACTGACTTTTTAATTATAGGTCTATTCCAGCAATCCGACAGTAGTCTGTTTTCCTAGTAGGGCCTATGTCCTAAATTCGCTACAAACATCAAATTGGGAGCTAGAAACGAAAGAGGAAAAGCCAGTCACCACCCATGGAGACGTACGACCAGCGATTAAGACATAATTTCTTTTTATATATTTGTTTTAATTAACTTAGGTTTAGAAGAATAGAGGGTGTACGAAGAGGCACATATAATGCTATTTCACTGTAGACATAGATATAGATCTATGTAGACTTGCCACGTCATGATAAGAGACTAAATTTTTATTTCATTGTTGCGCTGTGAGACTCGTTAATGTTGTTTTTAGATTATATTTCAATGTTTTTCTTGAGAATTGGTTTCAGTATAATGGTTGTTTTATCCTCCCAGGGGACTTCGCATGGTTAAAGGCGCAAAATATGCACAATAACTATACAAGGAAGTAGGCTTATTTGATCAATGTTATTCGTCAAAGATAGGCTAAAATGCTTTAGTCTGGTAATATTAATGATTAAAGGTTTTGAGAGACATTTGAAATGCGGTCTCAGTTTGTATAAGCCTCAGACTAAGAACAGACAATTTTAGTTTTATTTTTAAGCAAGCATATCGTGAAACAAAATATAACCCTGCATGACTTGCATTATTTGTAGGACAATCGAAATGTACTTTTATTAACACTGTTCTTTAGTTCACTAACTTTTCATTAACATGTCACATTAAGTACGAATGTTGTTGACGATAAAAAGCAATTGTTGTTGTCCATTAAGTCATGGCTTAACCTTTGTGACCCCTTTAATGAATGAGTTTCATTTCAGCCTCTCTCTGGGGTGGGTGCAGAGGGTGCCATCGCACCCTTCTAAATTGTATGAAGAAAAATAATTGTTGTATTGTATTGTTGATATGAATTATTGGTAAGATTTTTAAGGTACATGAGAGTGCAATTTCCGGGCATCTAGAGGTCCATATTCTTAAAATTGTCGCACCTCAGCCCAAACCATGTTGAGGCTGAGGTGAAAAGGAATTCAAATAAACATAAATAAATATCTCGCAGGGACTTATCCAAGGAGGAGCCGTGTTCCCCACTCCCACTCACTTCCCCCCTCCCCACCTTTGTACACGGTGTTACAATTTTAAAGCTTGTTTTTGAGCCAATACAAATTCTTTCCTGGCATTCAAAATAAATACTTCTAAAACATGTAAATATGCATCAGTACACGTAATAATAATAATAATAATAATAATAATAATAATAATAATAATAATAATCGCGTAATAATAATAATAATAATAATAATCGCGTAATAATAATAATAATAATAATAATAATAATAATAATAATAGTGTAGTTTTATATAGCGCACATATCCATCTAATGTATAAGATGCTCAGTTGCCTTGATATGTGAACTAGGAACTCGATCATATAGGCCTATCGGTCTAATAGAACACGTAGGCCTAAGCGTGGTTTAAAAAAATCTTAAATTCATAAATCAGGCCAGGTCTTCTTATAGAAATGTGATACTGTTATGGTTCAGTTTGGTTTTTATCCTTTTGCAAGTTTCTTTAATAATACCGTACTACTACTATTAGAATAATAATAATAATGATGATGATGATGATGATGATGATGATGACGACGATAGTATTGATAATAATATTAATAACATTAAAAGTGAAGAAAATTGTGCTAAATGCGAAAAAAGTTGTGATTTGTTGATCATAATTATTATAGTATACGGTAGTTAGTAATAGTTAGGCCTAAGTTGTCCTGGATATAAGTAAATCCCTGATAAAAGATCATGAAAAATTTGTTGGCGTTTCATTTTGACTATACAATGGTGATGTGATGATAAATTTTTACTATAAAAGTGTCATTTCCGGTCATCTAGAGGTACTATTTCCTCAAATTTTCTCACCTCAGCCCCAACCATGGTGGGGCTGAGGTGGTTGTGAAATCACGGTTTTGAATTATGCAAAGTAGGCTACATATACTCAAAGACGATGTTTTAAGCTTTGTTTTCTATGGTATATCACACACAAATTAATAAGATCTCTATGGTTGCCAAAAATCCCTGATAAAAGATCATGAGAATTTTTTGGCGCTTCATTTTGACTAATGGTGATATGATGATAAATTTTTCCTAAAATTTTATCGCCTCAGTTCCAACCATGGTGGGTCTGAGGTGGGTGTTGTCTCGCAAAATGTCCTTCTCCTCCACCTTTCAAAACAGATCTGTGCACTTCCCTGGGTATGACATTAAACTCCTGACTCGGAGTATGTCTTAGTGACTGCTGAGGCGAAGGTCCATACATTTGTTTTTAGCATGTGATCTGGTTTTTCATGCCCATTTTTCGTGGTTATGACTATTTTAGCTTAAAGAATGTTTTGAGCAGAGGTGGATACAAGACCCGCCCCCTCCCCTCATTCTTTAATGACAAAAAAAAGAAAAATATATTGAAATTTAAGTGTGAGAGTGTAATTTCCGGCCATCTAGAGATGTCCTAATCATAAATTTACTTACCTCAGCCCCAACCATAGTAGGGCTGAGGTGGGTGGTTCCTCGGTCTGTGAAAGTCCCTCCCTGGTTCACCTCTCTTTCGAATTCCTGGATCCGCCACTGTTCGTTTATTATATAATTATTGCTGCGCTTATTTTTAATGCGTCTATTGCAATTTTCACTTTATCCTCTCAAAACAGTCCTAATAAAAGAACGTTCAGAGTGCGCTACTTCACAGGGGATTCGCCCCCTGGACCCCGTCGGGGTCCTACGTAATTCGCATAACGGCTCCCCCTCCCACCCATTTCTCAGACTTATGGTACTGAAGCTCATTGTTAAATCATAGAGGTAAAAACACAACTAAGGTTATTCTGCAATACGTCTATTGGGTTTTATCATCAATAACATTCACACATTAATTTACATGGGAAAAAGTTAGTCAACCAAAAACAGTGCTCATAAAAGTACGTTTCCATTGTCCTACAAATAATGCAAGCCATACAGGACCCCAAGTTGTTGTTCTGATCACTGTGTTTCGTCAATAGCCTTATGAGTCAATCCTAAGATATAATACTGAAAGAAGATCGAAATAGTCAAAACCCTTTTTTTTTAAAGTCATACAGTTAGCATTATATACACTGATTTTTGTACTGCTAAGTTCCGTCGCTGTGTTTTGTTCTGTTACTTAGGTCGATGATTGTTCTATTGTTGTCAATGATTATACTTTATCAGAGACTCATGAATACCCAGTATGCCCGAAACGACATTAAGATATCAATGGTTATGTATAAATGGCTAATATGCCCAGGAAAGAGATTACCGTCTACTAAATGCAGTACGCCCAGATTTCTTAACTCATTCATACCTCTTGCAATAACATCCTAACATTTCATCACAAGAAAGTACTATTGGTATCGT